ATTAACTTCTTTCATCAATTTTGAAAAATTCTCAGCTTAAAACAGCCAGTGTGAGGCAAGGTTAGCATCAGAATAAGTAACAGTACTATTTCTTCACATACGTACTCTGCCTCATTCTTTTTCTCCTTCTTTTGGAAATGAAATTAAGTGTATTTTAGTCCTTCTTATTCTAGCTTCTGTATATCTTAACCACTTCTCTTAACCTGCTGTTTTTACTTTGCACTGCATTCTGGATAATTTATTCGGATCTGTCTTCCTATTCACAAATTCTCTCTTTGACTATGTCTAATATCTTTATAACCACTGAGTTTTTAATTTTGGTTATTGTATATTTTATTTCTATGTTTTGTATTTTACTCACTTTAAAATTTTCAATTTTCTGTATATATTTTCAAGAGTCTTTTATTTCTTTGAAAATGTTGAATATATTGTGACTGATAATTCTAATATCTCAAATTTTTCCAGGTTGTTTCTTCTTTCTCCTATTTTTGCTCGTTCTTGCTCATGGCTTCGTTTCCCTGGACTGTTGACCTTAACCATTTTGTTGCCCATTGCCCTTGAGAAATCACTTTTAGGATATCCTGAGGTCTAGATTGAAGGTGTTTTGTCCAAGGGAATTTGCATTTGCTTCTGCCAGAAGACTGGAACATTGTCAGATTAGAATAAAAGAATATTAAATTCTGAATTAAATTAAATTAAATATTAAACAAAAATCCGAGGCTTATGGGACCACCCATGGCTGCAAATCTACCCTAGGATTAAAGCACGATTTATAACCTTTCTTGAATAGTTCTCTTTTTATTTTTATTTTTTCTCCTTGATTAGTAAGCACTAGGCCAGCTTTTCCTGTAGCCCCCTTGCATTAAAGGATAGAAGTAAGTTTATCTGTTTCTGACTCTGACCTTAAAGATAGCCCTTCAGAGTTCAATTATAACGTTTGGCGATCTATCAGACCCCCTACCTTGGGCAGGCTGAAGACTTTGTCTTTTGTCCCCCTGGCCCAAAGAGTTTGTCAAGTTGCAGGCCAGTTTTATCTGGATAGTCAGATACCCTCAGGCCGAAATATAGATTTGCCTCTGGTTAATCCTCTGGATTCCTGGCAATTTCTTACTAACTTACCAGGTATTCTTTGTTTTTAAGATTTTAAAATACATTTTATATACCAATTGTAGTTGTTTTCAATAGGAGTATTGGTCTGAATAACTGCCTTTGCAGGAAGCAAAAGTTCCTTTATATATATTTGAACTTTTATTTATTTTTTTATAATGAGCTCTATTTTTTTAATTAAAAAAAATTGGAAAGGGGAAAAAAGCAAAAGGCTACCCAGAAGTGAAATAGACAACATAAATGTACAAATTATAAAAGAGTCAATATAAATGACATATATAGGAGAAAAATTGTTCATCTTCATTTCTGGTCAAGTAAATACAAATGAGATGCCATTTTTCACTCACTGTATTTGGGTAGGTTTTAAAATTTTTACTTAAAATTTATATAAGGTACTGTGAGATTGGGTATGCTTATATATACTACTAGTGGGACTGCAGTAAAAAAGCTTGCTGCAGGAAAAACAATTTATGGAAAGATCTTAGTTCATACTTTTGGTCAGGGTTTGGCAAACTACAGCCCACAGACCAAATGTGGCCTGCAGCCTATTTTTGTATGGCCTACCAGCTAAGAATTTTTTTTACATTTTAAAAGGATGAGGGAGAGACAGAGACAAAAATAAGAATATGTGATTAAGACCGTGGCCCACAAAGCCTGCAGTATTTGCCATCCAGCCCATTACATAATTGCATTCACTATTACATACCTTTGTTAGACTAATTATACTTGTAGAAGTCTGTCAGAAAAAAATAAGATGTGAATAAAGACTAAAGGCTAATTAATGAACAAACATGCTCAGCAAGAACTTAGACTGAACCTACATTTCTAACAGTAATGAAATGGATAGATAGTCATAGGATAGCCATACAGTAAAATCATTCTTCAGAAATAATTAATGAAATAGGGAACTGTTCCTAATGAAGTGTAAGATGCAAAACTATATATGTAATATCTCATACTGATGCGGTAGGAAAGACTACAAGGAGATACAATATATTTTCAAGTGGTTATCAGTGAGCGTTAAGATTATAGATGGGTTTGATTTTATTTTTATGCTTTTTTTCATATTATCTTAGCTTTCTATTATGAGCTTATTTATGGTCAAGGAAAAAAATTTTTTTGCTCCTTCTGTTAGGTCCACTAAAAGAATATGAAGAGACATGAGAGTTGAGAAAATAAAGAACTCCGTTAGGAGTGTGTCCATGTTTTATTCATCTTTATATATCCAGTGCCAGGAATTTGCTAAGTGCATGGTAAACATACATTTAAAGAATGGGTGACTAGGTAATAAATACAAAAATTGCTCAGCCTTAAAGAAATGCAGATGAAACTATGTATGGCCTATCATTTTATCCTTGATAGATTAGCAAATATTTTGTTCAATAAAAATGCTTATTGTCTTTTTTCAAGTCAGATTTTTTGGGAGGTATAATTGACATAATAGAATTCACCATTTTTTAAAAGTGTATAATTTAATGCATTGTAAAAATTAGGTCGTGTAACCATTACTCTGTCAAGACAGGGAACATTTCTACAATCTCCCCAAAAAACCCCCTGTGCCACTTTATAGTCAGTTCCTTCCTCTCACCCCCGATACATGGCAATCACTATTCTGCTTTCTGTTACTATAATTTTCCCTTTTACAGAATATCATATAAATAGAATTATACAGCACATTATTTTTTTGTGTCTGGCTTCCTTTACTTAACATAATGCTTTTAAAATTCATCCATTTTGTTTCATGTATGAGCAGCTTGTTTCTTTTTACTGCTGAGTAATATTCCACTGTATAGATGTACTACATTTTATTTATTCATTCACTGATTGATGGACAGTTGGGTTGTACCCAAATTATAATTTTGAGTAAGTTCTATAAACACTTGAGTGCTTTATGTGGCCACAAGTTTTCATTTCTCTTGGGTAAGTACCTAGTGGTAGAATTGCTGGGTCAGATCTGGTGCGTGTATTTAAAATTTTACAAGAAACTGCCAACCTGTTATCCAAAGTGTCTGCACCATCGCATTCCCACCACTTGCTAAGATGTTGAAGCAAGTGCTCAGCATTGCAATTGTGAGTGAAAACTGTTTTATCACTTGGAAAGCATTTTGGCAGTTTGAATCAAGTCAGTAAAAGTATTTATTCTCTTCAACTTGGAAATTCCACCTCAAGAAATGTCTTTGTAAAGAAAAATCTAAAATACTCACAAAAATATTAAAGTACAATTTGTAGTAGGAGACTATATGCATAACTGTACATTCACTGTTAAGCTGGGCGTTATGGTGGATTCAAAAGAAACTTAAGACATGGTCTTTCATTCATGTAGCTTGTAATTTAAAAAACAGTGCTAATTACATGAAAAATAATCACTGAGGAGTGCAACATTGTGTTAAATTGAGTTGTAAAGTATGCTATATCAAGGGAATAAGCAGTAGGGCCAGGAACTTGGATAAATTATTTAAAACTTGATTTTAGCAAGGTTTTGGAGCATGGCTAAAGCTTGAATTGGAGAATTGGAGCTTTCTAGGTGGAACACAACATGGGTAGAAATAAAATATGGCCTGAGTATGTAATAATTATGAGAATATTTTCATGTAGAAATAATAAAACAATATTGGAGGCTTTTAAAATAACAGCAAAAGCAGCATACACTTTAGAGCTGGAAAGACTGCTATGAGGCTCTACGTTCTTATAAAAATGCTTCAAAGTCTTCAGGATGGTCTGACACAGCAGGTGCTCAGTAAATGGTAGCTACTGTCATTTTTACTAGTACTAATAAAACAGGAAGTTAAGCTTGATGGGGTAGTTAGATAGGAAAACATTTTGAAAAGAGCACTAATATATAAAATATATTTATAATCATTTATTTTCTAGTGGTTTATGTAGAATAAAAAAGAGAGAAGAAGAATAAAAAATTTTAACCCTAAGTAATTATATTCCACAGACTCATGAGCCTTTTGGGAGCTGAAAGCTTATCCTATTTGTTACATTTATCTTCTGTGATTAGCACATTGTATGAGGAGTGGAGATGGGGTGGAGGTGGTGGGTTGGTCACGGATTTATTAACCTGATGAAAGGTAAAGAGAAGATTGTCTAGGTTAGTCCTGAAGTGTAACTGTGGAAGGATAATGTTGCCTGGGTGAGGCCGATGGATTGGAAAATATGTGAGAGGTTAAAGGATTGGCAAATCTGGTTTCAGGCAGATGATAGTTTCTTGGATTTATGGAATGAGAGAATAGAAAAGAGGAAATGTTATTTTAAAAAAGTTGTAATAGCTATCATTTAGTGCCTTCTATATGCCAAGGGTATTGCAAATTATCTTACATTAGAGTCATGTTACAGGTGATGCAGAATTAGTGACTTGCCAATAGAAACACAATTAATAGGTGTTAGAGCTAGGATATGAGCTGTGTATTTAAAAACAGCTTACTGTCATAGCTTCCTTCCAGGGGAAGGAAGTAGGGGAGCAGGAGTTATAAGCAAGACTGTTTAAGTGCTTTATAAGTTTTCACGTTCGTAGCCATAGTTTTGCATTTACTTCGGGAATTATAATTACAGTGTACCTTTGGAATTTGGGCATTTAGCATTCTCTGCTTCAGCTGATCTTCAGTAACTTAAGAGTTACAGGTGTAACACCCGTGATATAGAGAATCAGTACAAGACTGGTGTACCAGAGGCACTCACTCCTGTGAAAGTAGGCCCAGCACTGGAATGTCAATTACTGGCCAGAGTTTCAGGGGTGGATATAGTCCTTGGCAAATGTAAATGTTCTTTATTTCTCCTTTTTATATTCGTTCATCCACTACCTAACTTAATTACTCAATTTAGAGTTCAGTGTAACAGAGCTACAAGTGCATGTTTATATTCAAGTAATTCATAGTATCTTTAAACCATAGGTCCTCTGCTGTATCACTTTGAAAATTTGGCAAATGAACTTTCCATAGAATTGAGCTATGAAGATCTAAAAAACGTTGTTCTGCAGTATGGATTCCAGCTAGAGGTAAGGATGGAATGAAGTATTGCTGAAGCTTAACTTATAAAGCACTTAAACAGGAATGGTGATATTATGGCATTTACTGGCTTTACCTCTTAACCTCTCTGTTTTCTCATCAATGAAGTGAAAAAAATAATACTTAGTTTTTAGAATTATAAGTATTTAGGATAATGTGTATGTAAATGAAAAACTATATCTCTGGCATCATCATGTTTCAATAAATGTTAGCTGACCATCATCATAGTACTGGCCTTTCGTAGACTGATAGATACCAAGTAAATTAGGCGCTGGGGAAGTAGATGGGAGTGGGAAGGTAGGTGTAAGAGGGATGTGGTTCACTATATGTGCTTTTGCACTATTCAATCTTTTTTTATTGTGTGCATTATTAGAAGGTTTTATGATACTTTGACTATTGTGTTTTAGTTGTGTGCTTATTTAGAAACATTCCATTGATTTAAAAATTAAACTAAATATCCTTAGTTCTTAAAGATAAAGAGAAGTAGTATATTATAGTAGCTTAGAGTTCAAGCTCTGGATTTAGACTGCCTGAGTGTGATCCCCAGTTCCACCACTTATTAGTGGTGTGACCTTGAGCAACCTGTTTTTGTAAAGTGGAATTACTAATAGTATCAACCTTGTGGGGGTACTTGTATGTAATAAATGAATTAACATCCAGAATATATGTAAAGTAGCACCTGCCACTTACAAGTACTCAGTATTTTTTAGTGTTATCATCATGGTCATCATCATCATTATGATTGTTTGCATTGCAGGTGGAAAAAGAATCTGTCTTGTCAACATATACTGTGAATGATCTCTCCATGATGAAATACTACTATGAATGTGTCTTGTTTGTGGTGCGTAAACCACAATAATGGTCTCAAGTGATATCACCAGGAAAAAAGCTTAATAAGAGCAAATCCTGAAATAAACAACTCAAAATCAACTATCACAATGACAGGACACAACCTCAAATCAGTGGTGCCTTTTTATTCCTAAAAAAATTTAGAAATAGCATCTATTTTCTTAATATGTCTATCGCTTTTTCAGAAATATACTATGCCATGCATATTTGTACTACACACGTAAAAAATGGAGGAAATGTCTTCAAGTATACTTTTTTCTCGAAGCCCAGAATTGTCTTTCAGTAGGAAAAACATTTTCTCCAGTGTCTTCATGAAGCTGTCTGTTCCAGGTCTGCCATGCTAATAACTAATAGTATTGAAATCCATAATAATCTCTTTTATTTGTTTTGTAAACATTGCACATGTTATTTTTAGAAGAGTCTAAGGATCTTCTGTCATATTCAACATCTGGAACTGGGACTTTTGTTCACTTTGGACCTAAGCAATCTATACATAAAATGTGTGTCTATTCTTTTATTATTCAAATTCTTTTATTTTTTTCTAGCTCAGCTGAACTTAGAGAAGCATCAGACCTTTCATTTTTATGAAGTGCTACATTTAATAGGATCACAGGCCAGTAATGCATTCTAGTAACTGAGAAATTGGTAAGTCTTTTGACAACACTAAACTCAACACGTTTTTAAAGCATACTTATCATGGATCACTCTGAAATGTATGAAGATCTCAACATGCTAAGTGAGGCACAAAAGCCTTTATTAAAGGTACTGCTAGGAAACAGGGGAAGTAAAAATAAAATCTGCCCATTTGAAATGTATGATTTCAAACTGTGAGTGAATACAGAGTCGGTCAGTGAAATGTTTGCAATAATTTCTTTAGATTACCTGGATTATAAAAGCAAGCACTTTTTTTCATTAAAACAATTGTATACTAGTAAAAACTGTCATGATGGTATTAATGTGGAGAAATTTTGAATATGAAATTCAGGGATAAATTACTGCCTGTGGTATGTGTCTTTAATATTGTAAGCAGCAGCCATTGATTTCAGATTAGCACCACTTTTGTTCCCTCATAGCTGGGGTTAAAACAGTATATGCTGCTTTAAATTTCTACCTCTAGCAGATCTTTATTGGATGGGGTTTTCCTTTGTATTTTTTTTTTTTTTTTAATGTTTATTTTTCTGTTTCCAGGAGCTTGGAAGGTATAGGTAACAAATTTAACCTTTTCTTGGAGAAAAGGAAGTACTCTTGAGTATTTTACAGATGATTATGATGGCATTAAATGACCTCTGTGGCCATTTGGATTAGATGCTTAATCTCAGTATGTGCTGGTAGCATAAATGTCATGGTTTGATAGGAAAACTTACTTGTAAATCTTTAAACCTTTATGTCGTTTAGGTTGGGGGAGTCACTACATGATTTTGGCATCTTATTAGTAGGAGCTTTTCTGCATACAGTAATGGAGCTCTTGTGGCCTTTATACCCATTATGCAGTAGAGGATTCCATGAAATTAATTTGACTTGTCAATTTATGGAAACCTGTTGAGTTGTTGTTGTTGTTTTTTTAACTATTTATCTTTTTTGTGTCCCTCTATACTTGGCAGCTCATTTAGTGGGAATTCTCATTACCTACCACATGAATGAACTTGAAATAAATTGCCAGGGGAAAAAAATTATTATTATTATTTTTAAGAAAGAAAAGAGACTTAAAAGGAGCCTAGGTATTTTTTAAAAATCTATTGAAAGGAAAAGAATGCATGCTGTTTATGGGTAATTTAGAAAGGCTTTTTATTCACTGACTAGTATTCACTTTTTTACAGCTCACATCAAAACAAATGATCTTTATCTCAGAGAGGCAAAAACAGGTTGACACCGATGAGTTGGCTTTATTACTTAAAATTTCTGCTATCAGGTTTTATTCTTTAGTAGTGTTACCTGTATTTCTAAATTATAGCTTACATTTTTGTTAATTCTGAAATCAGGTATTTCATTTGTTTTTAATGTTTCCCTCATATCATGAGTACATTTTTTTAATGTTCCACACAAATTTGCATTGCTTTTTTTCTCTTATAGTTTGTAGTTAATATATTCTAAACTTGAAAATTGTGGTATTAATAATAGAAGTGTCACTGGAGGATTTAATTTTGTATTTCTCACATGTAGTCCTACTAAAGTGTGTAAGCCTTAAAGTTTTTTACTTTTTTCTTAAATTAGCTCTACACACAGATGTTTTCATTCATTTTAATAAAGTGGAAGAAGATAGGTCATTATGCTTGCTGGGGTTTTTTTTTCCCTCCATAATCTGAAGTGGTGCAGGTTAGGGTATGTTAATCAGATGAGCAAGGTGGAATATGTAAAATATAAAGAGAAGCTGTACAAATCACAGTATAAAATTATGACGTTTGGGAACTGTAAAATGTACTGTATTTATATGTAATTCTCATTCTAAAAGTTGCCACAGTGGCTGAATTGGAAGCTTCATGTCTGCATGAAATTTCCTGTATTTTTAGTGTGTATAATGGACTTAATTTTTCTTGACTATTAAAGTCTGCCAATTGTTATGAAATAATACTTGCTTTGTTGTTTGCATCTAAATTAGTGATAACCATAGACATGGGAATTTAAATTAATTGAGCACATATCTTATACTAATTTATTCTGATCTTTGATTTTGTTAAATAATAGAAAAAGAACTGTAAACGAAACCAGTAGAAGAAAGTTCCAGGACCCACCATTAGTAGAACGAACACTGACCTTGGCACTTAGATACTCTGCGTTCATTTTCTTGAACTACTGTTTGTGATCTTGGGCAAGGTGCTCTGAGTTTGTTTCCTGATCTGTGAGAGGATTGATACCACCTATTTCAAAGGGCTTTTAAGAAGTCATATGAGTTATATGTAAAATATTATATGTAAATATATGAAAGGACATGGTAGATAATTAAATGTAATTTGATCTGTGTTGATTGCTATATAGTGACAGAAAAAGATGAAGATCAGTAATAGGACATTAATTTTAGTACTGTTATCGTGACCCTTTGAAAACAGTTTTAGTGGAATCTTAGGGGCAAAAGTCAAAGATAACATGTATAGGTATAGATTCCAAAAGTTTGGTGGGAATTATAAAGAAATATAATAGTAGGTAATGGGAGAAAGGACACAAGTAAAATTTAATGGACGGTTACTCTAACTTTACAAACATACTAATACATGCCTCTTACATATGTTTGATTATTTCTCTTCAGTGGCTATTTAGAAATGGAATCATTCAATCAGTTGTATGTGCATTTTCAGTCAAGTTGCCTTTCAAGAAGACTACATGCTATCAACAGTGCTTGAGAGTAACCATCCATGCCCTAACCAGTACTGGATATTGCTAATCTTTTCATTTTGTCTATGTGATAGGAAAACATGATATCTAATTTTAATATTCATTTCTTTACCAGTCAGTGAAGTTGAGCAATTTGTGTAAATTTAGTGGCCACAGAGAGGTGTCCTTAATAATATACGTTTGTCAGCTTTCACCTGGCAGACCATACAGGCCATTGGCAACAATCTAAAAGTTAATAAAAAGGTAGCAAGGTTGTCAAGGGGAAGAGTGACCAGAGTCATGAGTACAACTTTAAGTTCTATCCACTGAGAGGAATGATCACATCTGCTTTTGGTTTTACATAGCTGGCACTGAGGCTGAACAGTGGCAGCAGCCTATTGGACCCCACCCCGCCATTAGGTTTCAACTTAGCCTATCTGTGATCGATGCCCAGGAGTTTATAGGAGTGTCTGTGAATCAAGAGCCCCATTGAGCTAGCAACTATAAAGTTTACCCTTAAAGGAATAGCTGCCACTTTTTCATGGCACCAAAAGCTGTTTAGGGTCAGACCGGCTACACTCTTGAATATGCTATTTCTGTTTGACTTGCAAGGCTTGTTGGCTTCTTTTCACCTTGTTAGGCATCAAGTCCAAGTTGATCTACCCCCAAATGGGGACATCAAACCAGTCACAAGCCTCCATGAGTCATATATTCAGTTTCAACAAAAAACTTAGTAGCAGATTAATTGCTGCCTTCTTTAGTACAAAGGTGTATTTGGTGACAGTGACAAGCAGTTGGTGCTATTCTGGTACCTGGTCATGGCCTCTCTATTTCAGCAGCCTTAAGGCTTTGAAGCTATGGTTTCCTTTCTCCTTTCAGCGTTATGTATTATTTCTGCTGGACCACCCAGGAGGGGAGAGTCCATGTAGTAATCCTTGAATGTTACACTCATGGAAAGGAGAAGTACAGGCATATATCAATTCCATTATGCATATCTAGTTTATAATTTCTGGTGTGTGGTGCTTTAAAAACCTGTCCACAAATTCTTTATACTCCTCCCTTTGGGAGAGCCCAATTCCTCTCCCTCTTGAAGTGCAGGTGGTAGTGTCTCCCTTCAAATGAAGAGACTGTGGTGGAAATGTGGTGATTTCTAAGGCTAGGTCATAAAGACGTTATAGCTTCTATTTTTCTCTCAGAACACATACACTAGGGGAAGCCAAATGACATGTCATGAGGTCATTCAAATAGCCCTATGGAGAATCCCACATCATGAAGTACTGAGGCCTCCAAACAATCATATGAATTGGATGAGCTTGGAAATGGATCTTTCAGTCCCAGTCAGGCTGTGAGATGATAACTCCAGTCAACGTCTTGACTGCAACCACATGAGCAACACTGAACCATGGAGCTAAACTGATGTTGAACTGATTTCTAATTCACAGACTCTGAGAAAATGTTTGTTGTTTTAAGCCACTAGGTTTGGGGATAGTTTGTTATATAACACTCTTCATTTCTTTACATGCATCCAAGTTTCCATCTGGCATTATACTTGGCATCTGAAGAACTTTCTCTAACATTTCTTATATTACAGGTCTTCTGGCATTGAATTCTCTCAGCTTTTGTCTGTCTAAAAGTCTTTATTTTACCTTTATTCTGAAAGATTTATTTATTGAGTACAGAATCCTGTGTTGACTTTTTAAAAATTTCTTTAAAGATGTCACTCTATTGTTTTCATGAGTACTCTGCTCTAATTCTTATCTTTGTCCCGCTGGATGTATTTTTTCTCTGGCTGCTTTTAATATTTCCTTTTTCAGTAGTTTGACCATGACGTGTCTAGGTTTGTATGGTTTGTATATGAAATTTATCCTGTTTCTTGGATCTGTCGTTTGATATTTTGTTACAATTTCTAAAAAGTTTGTTGCCATTACTTATTTAAATATTTCTTCTGCCCTGTTCTCTCTTTTTTCTCCTTCTGGGATTTCTACTACATATGCATTAAATTGCTCATTATTGTCCCACAACTCCCAAACACTCTGTTCTGGTGTTATCTAGTTGCTTAGTTTTGTCTGTGTTGAATTTTACTCATTTTTTTCCATCTTTGTCTTTCAGATTTATGAAGAGCTCCTTTTTATCCATCTTCATTTGATATCATGCTTTTAATTTCTAGCATTTCCATTTATCTTTTATTTTATAGTATTCATCTCTGCTGAAATTACCAATGTGTCAATGCATGTTATCCACTTTTTCTATTATAGCCTTTATTATAGGATTTTTAGTCCCTGACAGAAAATCCCAATATCTGAACCACCTCATTTCTTGACATTTTTTTTCCTCTTGCTTTTTTCCTGAGTCTCATTGAATTCTATTTACTTTGTAAAAATAAAGGAAAAAAAAAAAGTAAAAAGAGGGGGAGGGGGAGGAGGAGGAGGAAGAGAAGGAGGGGAAAAATACAGAACCTGAAGTAAACAATATTTTACCTGGGTAGAAATATATTCCTTAACTTAGGTTGGTATGAGAGGTTGAATCAATCTTGCAAAGAACTCCACTCAAGTTCATTTTGTTATTATTTGCAGAGCACCACAGGTTCCAAATTCCACTGTGAGCTGTGGGTTACCTCGTGCTCAGAGTAGAGGACAGGATGCCAGTGGCTTTTTTTACTGGTATTCCGGCTCCATCTCCTGTATTCAGCTGTCTCTGCATGCCTGTGCCAGAGTTCTCGCTCCATGCTCCTGCCTCTCCCCCAGAGGAAGACTGCTGTTCCTCCTTAGTCTGTGCTAGGTTCATGGTAAGGGACAGTGAAGTTGTCTTAGTCCAGCCTCTCTGTGCCCCTGGGCCTCATATGTGGGCCTTTTGCCAGCATTCTTATCCTCTTCTGCATGTATTTGTGGTTGGTCTTAAGCAGGAATTTCCTGCTCTTCCAGTAGAAGTATCAGTGGAAGATACTAGTAACCAAATTATCTTTTGCTCCCCTTCCCCAAATGTATATTTTTGCTTCTAATTTTCCTCCAAGGATCTTGTCCTTGTTCTGGGGATGAGAGGGTTTCCTACCCCAGCCCTGAGGCAGGTGGATTTACTTTTACTCCTCTCCCACAAGCAGTATCTTCCTGGGAGAATTGTTTGCTGACCCTCTATCAACAACTTATGGATTTGCTTACAGTAGAGAATGTTTCAGGGAAACAGATGGGCTTTTATGCCTGTCTCACCTCAGCAGCAGCTATAATTCATATATACGCCTTCCAGGGGGGCTCTCTCCAGTCTCCCACCCTGCCCCAAATCTTTCTCCCAATGGAAGATCATGGAAAAAGCTTATGAATGAGTGCAAACATCTCTTGTGTCTGGGATTCCCAGCTATTCCAAACTAAGATACTAATTCACAATTACCAAGAATGTAAAATTTTTTCCGATTTTTTTCTTTGCACCTATAAAGCAGCCAGTTCCCTGTACTCTGCCAAATGTGAAAAAGTTGTGTGTCCCATCTCTCTTTGGAGAGGCTTGTCCCTCTTTATAATTCATTTTACTTAATTGCCTTGCAACATCAATTCTGATAGGCTTGAGAAAAATTATGGTTTTTAGAATATAAAGGAGCACAGAATGAGAAAGAAAATATAAAGTATTTGTTACCAAGCCAACTACCGCTTTCACAAAAGAGATATAATCACTTGGCTACATGGGGATATTTCTGGATAGTCTGGAAAGAAAAACTAAGAACAGTTCACCAGAAGGAGAGAATGAGAGTTTATCTACTTGTCACAGTTTGCTCCAGGAGAGATAACTCTTTGCTAAAAGATTGTGCCATCTGGCTCAAGCTGTTGGTGAGGCCAGGTCTACTGCCTTTCTGTGTGGCACTTCACCTGAGGCATTGGTCTGCAAGTTTCAGGAATGGTAGCAGAAGACACAGAACTACAGCAAAGTCATAAGTTTATTACAGCAATAGCAGTAGCCAGAGTATAATTTTGTTCCAGTTCCCTGAGGCCCTACTCTCACAGAGTGACACACAGAGTGCTAGTGATGCCAAAACAAGCACTGGATTATGTTACAGAAGATCCTTGAGTTTAGGAAACCTTAATCTTTTATGATGGGCAAACAGTAAATGTGCCTTTTTTGCCCTACTAGAAGATATATTGGACAGTGAGCAAACCTGCCCTTAGCTCCAGAGGGAAACACTGTAATCTTCCAAGCTTGTCTACTGTATACATATCCTTGAAAAAGTAATCTGGAATAAAGGCAGCCGGTGTTTGCTTACAAAATATGCTGAATTGCAAAAGACCCATGGAAAATTGTCTCCCAACAGAAGATAATGGAAGCCAGAAATTCTAAGTGTTGGCCTGTAGTAAAGAAGCTTCTAACCCACACAAGACATCAGTGACACTAAGATAATCTGAAGTAGTCCAAGATTGTGTTCCTTATGCTCTCTGCCCACATTCCTCAGTATCCTACCCTTTTGTTAACAGTATCCTCCCAGGAACATCTGTGCAGTACCAAAAAAAATGCACATACGCACACAAACATGTATATGTATTCTCTGCTTTTTAATGTATTTGTGGCGTAGAAATATTGTATACCTTGATTTTTTGACTTATGTTTTGCTAATTGTTCTATATCCATACACATGAATTTACTTCATTTAATAAAAGATGCACAGCATTTAATTATTTATGTTGTTTTCAATCTTTTGCTATATAGCATTAAATTTCCATGAATAGTTCTGTACATACCTCCGTGTACATTGTCAGTACTAGTACTACGTAGAGTATGCATTCTGAGAACTGCTAGGAATGTATACTTTATGTAGAACTGCTGAAAATGGCATGTGCGTTTTTAAAATTTCACAGATGGTGCCAGAAGCCTCTTAAAAGGTTACACTTTAAAACACTAAAACAAGAAGAGTGAGTATCTGTTTCTCCCTATCTTCAACAACACAACCTATTATTAAACATTCTAATCATGGCTAATCTATTTTGTTGAAAATTGTACTAAAATCTTTTGAAAAATGCAGGTTTTGTTTGTTTGTTTTGGTGGGAGGAGGCTCTTTACCATCACAGACAGCCTGGAATTGAGGATGGAATAAAATGGAGGAAGATAGACCTGGCCAGTACCCCAGCCTCACTATTTGCTGTGTGCTCTTTACTTCTTTATTCATTCCACAAGTATTTATCAAGACTCTAATTGTGTCAGGCAGCAGACTTGGTCTTGGCAATGCAGAGGTTGACTAAACAGATACTGTTTCCCCCATCACAGAGCTTATATAGCAGAGGAAAGATATCAAACAAGTAATTAAATTACATAATTGTTAAGAATTAAGGTAACCATTGTAAAGGACAGGTACAGGGTGCTCGGATCATATGTGAGTAGGAGAATGTCAGAAAAGGCAAGACCCAACTATACTGTATATGTTGTCTTCAAGAGATTAAACATAAAGACAGAGTTAGATTGAAAGTAAACAAATGGAAAAAGACACATTGTGCAAATGGTAAGCATAAGAGGGCTGGAATGGCTCTTTATATATCAAATGAGGATGATTTCAAAATAAACGGCATTACCAAAGAAAGATAGAGGTATTAAAGAGTTAATATATTAGAGATGTAACAATCATAGTATGTGTAAACCTAATAATGGAGCTTCAGAATACATAAAAATTGATGGAACTAAAAGGAGAAACAGAAAACTTCACCATTATAAGTTGGAGATTTTAACAATGCTTTCTCAGCAATTAATAGATCAGACAAATAAATGAGTAATGACATATAAGACCTGAAAAATAGTCAACCATCTTAGTCTTAGATATTTGTAGAGCACTATATCTAACACCTGCAGAAAACTTTTTAAGTACATGTGGTACATGCACCATGATAATTCACATGCTGGATCATAAAACAAGTCTCAATATTGAAAGGATTAAAATTACAGCGTATGAATTAAATGAAGATGGAATTAAATTAGAAATCAGTAAGATCTAGGAAAACCTGATATTTGGGAAAATTAACACATTTAAGTAATCCAAAGTCAAAAAAGGAATCACCAGGGAAATTAGAAAGTATTTCAAACTGAAAGATTCCATTTACATAAAACTCTAGAAAATGCAAATTAATCTAATAAAGTAAAGCAGCGGTTACATTGCTGGAGAAGGAGGGAGGCATCACGAAAGGGCAAGAGGAAACTTGGGGGTGCATTATCTTAATTGTGGTTATGGTTTCACAGGTATATGCATATGAATTCAGCAAATTAAACACTTTAAATATAGGTAGTATATTTTAAGTCAATTATGCCTCAAAGCCGTTAAAACAGTAAAACTAGAAATGTCATTTAGGACTATATACATAGATGGGGAAATTACAAAGAAAAGTAAAAGAATGGTTAACTCAAAATTCAAAAGAGTAATTATCTAGAGTTGGGGAAAGAGGGCAGTGCCAAAAGGGGAGTCACTAGAGACCTAGTCATGTTCCGGAACTAGTAATATTCTCTATCTGAAACTGAGTGCTGGGTACATTACTATCATTCTTTTCATTATATATGTTTTATACAACTTTTTGTAAAGATGATAAGTTTCACAATTTAGGGGGAGAAAAGTCTGTAAAGAGACCACAAAGGAATGAACCTCTGTTAAACTGCATTTTATCATTTTGGGGCAGGATACCCTCGCGACCTTTCAAATAAAATTAAGATTTTGTCTGATCTATGTCACTGGTTTGAAAATGGCAAACTGAGACAGATGAGTTATCAACTTCAAACAAAAGGGAATGGAAATACCACAGAAAAACTTGTTAATTATATTTCTGTGCTCCTTAAGTACTGTTGTTGCCCTCTCCTCTCACAACTTTGAGGTGTAGGGGCGTCGGGTAATTAACACATAGGTAGTACCTACCACTTGGAATACAATTCTCTTCCTTGCACACTTTTTCTCTAGGTAATAGCAGTTTCTCCTTTTAAGACTTACATATACTTTGTTCACTTGGTTAGTCTCTATCAACTATTAAAATATAAGTCACAGTCAATACATTGCTGTTATCCCCTCTTTACTCTGCTTTACATCACAATTTTGCTGTAAGGTCTTGGAAACTCACTTCTGATCACCGCACAGAGTAAGCAGGGAACTCTATGCGCTTCTCACATAATTTAAGAGCCAAACAAGTTTAGGTTTCAGCTGGAAAAGAAAGAGCTGTCCCCTCGGGTTGGCTCTTGGATGAGCTATTTTGGAGGAGTTGCACATCTCTGCAACTTCAATGAATTTTTAATCAGACCTTGCAGGAATTTGGTGCCTACTTCATTTTCCAATGCAATGTTTTTCCAGCAGCCAATGCAATGTTTTTCTTAGTTTTTGCCTACTTCCCTCAGTCCAACTCCCATTCGGCAGTCTGTCTCGAATAATCACTTAACGTAGTGCTAGAGACTTTTAACACTAGTTCAAGATTGTGTAATCGTGTTTTACCCTCCTAGAGACGTCCCCAGGGCCACTGACTCGAGGAAGGGAATATTAACATACAGATTTTAAAGGCTTAAGCTTAAACCGCTCTGACGGTCGCGGGATTTGCACAATCCCTTCCCCAACCGTAGAAACAAGGTCACGCCCTCCGTGGGAATCGCTACTGGGCCTTTAATAAACCCGCCGCGGCTTTCCCGCCTTCCTCTGGAGTGCGCACTTCCGGCCGCGGGGGCGCTCGGGAGTCCGCCCCGCGAGCCTCCACCAACCAGCGACTCCGCCTGACCGGCGCGAGTGTGCGAGCGCACGTTTGTGCGCAGGTTCGAATCTCCGCCGCTTCGCGGTTGCTGCCCAACGTCCGGCCGTACCTCCGCCGCGGCGAGGACAGCGCGCGAGGGCTGTGGGGACCTGGCCGCCCCGCCCCCTCCAGGGCGCCCTTCCCACCTTCCTCCCGCCGCCTCGCCCAACTGAGTCCTCGCCCTACGTCGCGTGCTCTGCCCCCGCCCTACACCTCCGCAGCTATCGGCGCTCGGCCTCCCGCGCCAGGCGGGCTCCGCCCGAACCTCTGGGGCCCATGGCCAAGCGGCGTGCGGCCGAGCCGCTGACGTTCCATGTGCCTTGGAAGCGGCTCCTACTCTGCGACTTCCCAGAGGAGCCGCCACCGCCTCTCTGGATCCCGCCGCCGGGGGCTTCGCATCCCGGGCAGCTCCTCGGCGTCCCGGAGCTGCCCCGAAAGCGCAGAATCGATTCAGGGGCTATGACTGAGCCTGCGGCTTCACCCAGCAAGCGCCGCGACGGCGGGGACATTAGCGCCCCCGGCGGCGGGGAGTGTGAGGATCGCGGCTTAGAGACCGGCGAGCCGTCGTCGCTGCTGCAGCCGCCTGAGCGGCCCAGCGGGCCGGGGGAGGAGTCCCGGGGCGCCCTGCCTCCGCGGGGCGGTGGCGACGACGGGGCGGGGCGCGCAGAGTCCCCGCGAAGAGACTGGGGGGCCGCACCGCTCCAGGTAGGGGCTGGGGGCGGGATGGGCGCCGCAGGGGCGGTTGGGATCACCCTTTCCCCAGGGTGGAGAAAGAGCAGATAGTACCTCTCCATACCCATTTGTCAAGACGCCCCCAAAGGCGAAAAGCCGGCCTCCGCGTTTCAGGAACGGATGCCGACCTCAAGGCAATACTCCGAGGGCCCCAGAGCCCACCCTTGGGAGCGGTTTGGGAGAGTCCGACAGACTGAAAACGTTTCGTTTTGGTAGGGAAAACTGACTGTCGGGTGCGGTAGATGTCTGGTTGATGGCCTTGCAGCTTCAACGGCCTGTTACGTGAGAGGGAAGTGGGAGCGTAGATCAGGACAGACTAGAGCTTGGTGAACACTTTCTGAACCACGACAGGTTTAGCTCAGTGACAAACATCTGAGAAAGATGTAGCGTGCTTTCTCCTTTGTTTAACGATAATTTTTGTAGAATTTGTGATTTCCTTTTGAAGAGATGAGTACTGTGGTAGCCATCAATTAACTAGACGTCCTTTACGCATGGTACAGCTCTTTTGTAGAGAGGAAATGCTTCTATATCTTGGGAAAAGGCATTTTAACTCAGTGTTAAATATGATCCTATGAAAAGGATTACTGTTGAAAATTAATTTGAGTCCTAATATATGAGGCTCTTTGGAGAGTTCTTATTTCTTGGGAAGTGAGCCTGCCCCATATCTGCACATTAGATCTGTTTTGTCGAGATCTGTGGTGTTCAGTATTGCAGCCACTAGCCATGTGAAACAGCCGAACCCTTGAAATGTGACTAGACCAAATAGAGATGTAATGTAAGTGTAAAATACACACTAGATTTCGAAAGCCTCAAAAAATTTTTGTTGATTACACGTTGAAATAACTTGGAGGTATTGGATTGAATAAAATAGGTTAAAATTTACTTCACCAGTTTCATTTACTTTTTTAAGACAGCCACTAGAAAATTTCCAATTATCTTTGTGGCTGGCATTATATATTTTTTGGACGGCTTTGGCCTAGATTTAGAAATTCAGACTGCTTTTTGGCAGTTCTTTGTTGACTTACTAGGAGCTATGGGGATAGAAAACCCAAATATAGGGTCCAGAAGTCACCAGACTCTCTTCAAGCACTGTATCATAGCATCTACTCCAAATCCTCCATTGTCCTAAGTGGTTTATGCAGAGTTTATGAAATAACCTTGCAAAAAAAATTATTTGAGCTTCCTTTGGCATGACTTGTTCTTGGTGGAAAAACCCAATAAGATGAGAATTTTATATAGTTAGGAAAGATGTTTTACTGTGGTTGTGAGAAATTATCCTTCACACATAATCATGAGCACTTCTGGATGAAATTAGAAATTAAAGAATAGAAAAAGATATTGCTTGAATGGATCTAGAAGGTATTTAAGTCAGACAGAGAAAGATAAACACTATATGATGTCACTTATATGCAGAATCCAAGGAATAAAAAGAACAACTAATCAAAAACAGACTCACAAATATAGTGGACAGTTTGTGACGGACAGAGGGGAGGAGGGTTGGGGGGCTGGGAGAATGGGATGAAGGGTTAAAGAAGTAGCTGATCATGGGGATGGGGAGCATGGCATAGGGAATACAGTTAGTGTTAATATGTTGGCAAGGTGGAGGGTCAGGTGAGGGAGGGAGCAATTGGAATTGTTTTATGAACTAAATAGATGTCTAACCAATGTATACTTGAAACTAACTAAATTTAAAATTATAAACTAAATATTTCTACCCCCAGTTTTCTTCGAATTTAGGAGGCATACGCCTTATTTAGACTTTTTTCTTCAAATTGCTTTTATTTAATTTGTTTTTATTTTCAATTACAGTCAACATTCAGTACTTAATGTTAGTTTCGGGTCTACAGTATAGTGGTGAGACATTTATGTAATTTTCAGAGTGATCCTCCTCCCCCATTAATCTAGTACCCGCCTGGCACTAGATATAGGTATTATAACATTATTGACTATGTGCCATATACTGTACTTTACATCCCCTTGACTGTTTCATAACTACAATTTGGGTTTCTTAATCTCTTCATCTTTTTCATCTAGTCCCCCAATGCCTCTCTCATCTGGCAACCAACAGTTCTCTGTATCTATCAGTCTGTTTCTGTTTTGTTTGTTCTTTTATTCGGATTGCTTTTAGATACTCAAAATCAGCTTGCTTAAAACTGAACCATAACACTTATGTTTTGGAAAAAAAAACCTGATAGTCATCCAGACCTATTTGATATGTGAGCTAAACATTGTGTAGTTTGAAAACTTACCTTTTCAGACAGACCCCATCCATGCATAGGCTTTTCTTTCTTACCAGAATATCTGCATTATGTCACAAATTGGTAAGAGGGAAATATGGAAATAGCAGTTAGGCAAAGAAGAATTTTTTAGTAGGCCGACAGACACTTGCTTAGAATCTCCTAGACATACCTGTGTCCACCACAACAGAGACTCCATCTGGTAGTTTTTTGCTTCTTATAGTCACTACAAGCTCATGGCAAGAAACAAGCTTGGCTCTGGGAGTTTCTTTTTCAAGACCAGTCTCCTGTTTTTTTTTATTTATTTTTTATTTTTATTTTTTTAGGAAAAGCCCAGGAACCCTCCTATTTTTTTAAAGCTGCTTCTCCTGCAAACTTAATAGAGGGACATGTTTTCTACAACTTCCCTCTTCTTGCCTCCAAAGATGCAGTTTTTTGTTTGAAAGATTTTACAGATAATTGCCAAGGGAAAACAGGATAAAACAGAAACATGAAGCTAAAAAGCTTTTTCAGTTCAGAACCAGAAAAATGTCTCCCTGGTTCCTGTTGTGCTTAGGCCCTTGTCCCTCAACCCTTGGGATCTCATTTAGGAAAAATTTTCTCAAATATGCCTTTTCTATATTGAGCATGCAACTAGGCAGAGTAATGGTACCTCTTTTTATGTCCTAGAACCTCAATATTTCCTGAGTTGTTTCATATTTTCAACTAGAGAACTAAAAACCAAGTATTACATTATTAAATATTCATGTTTTCTCATGTTAGTGTTACTTTATGCAGATTCATTGCTCTAGTGTTGACCTTTAGTGTTAGATATTTTTAATAAAAAGTAAGCAAAAAAGTCTACAGCCATGCCACCTGAACATGCCCAATCCCATCTGATCTTGGAAGCTAAGGAGGGTCGGGCTTGGTTAGTACTTGGATGGGAGATCATCTACTAGGAAGACTGGGTACTGTAGGCGTTAAAAAAATAAAAAAAATAAAAAAAGCAAAAGTAAGAAAGTGATTGATGATTCATAGGCTTTTTGAGATATAATACCTAGCAGTAATGAGCAATTGCAGTGCTAAACCTTAATATGCAAGAGTTCTCTATGTTTTACCAATTAGGAAACACTTAGGTCAAGATCAGAGTTGGTGGGTAGAGAAGTTAGCATGCAAACCCAGGTCTGTCTGGAGGAAGACTTTGTGCTCTTAGCTGTTGGGTTATACTGACATCATTAAAGGATTTTCAATGATCTTCCTTTGGCCCATGTTTATAAGTAGGTAATTTGAACAATAGATTTTTTCCAGTAAGCAAAGAAATAGATTCTTGTTTTTAACTGTATTGCTTATCAAAATGAAATTTTTCATGACACCCTTCGAATTATTACATTTTTATAGCAATGTTAAGAAATTCCACAGAGACCCCTAATTCTCTAAGCCTTAGTGTCTAAGACACTGAATAAATTTAACGAGATTTTCTTAGAAACCTGCTCTCTTCAGTAAAGTAGCCACATTCAGCAATTGAGCATTGAAATGTGGCTAGTCTGAATAGTGCTGGATGTAAAATACCTGACAGATTTTGAAAACTGGCTTAGTATGAGAAAAAGAATGTAAAACATCTCATTAATTTTTAAAATATTAACTGAATGTTGAAATAATAGTTTGGATATATTAGATAAAAAAAAATAAGATTAATTTCACCCGGTTTTTTTTTTCTTTTACTTTTTTATTGTTGTTAATAGAAAATTTTAAATTACAAATGTGGCTCCCATTATATTTCTCTTGGATAATTCTGCTCTAGTAAGTATGAACCTAACATAAGAACACAACATAGTAGAATAGATACAGATACATAGATATCCACCTGGGAAGGATATTAACCTTGAAAACGAACACTTTGGGAGCCTGTATATAATTCCATTGATGCTTCCTTTGCACAAAGTATTTCGGAGGCGCTTTTGAAACAGCCAGTTTTGAGCTTCAATTCATAGTTCTGTAAAACAATTTTGTAGTCATTCAGAGTAAGTTGTTGAATTTTTAAGAGGCTGACATTCACTTGGATTTATCTATTTTGATATATTGACCTAAGTCATGCGTTATACTTAATGGTATTTTAATAAAATGATCAGTTTAAGTTTTTTTTTGCTATTTTCCATTTGTATATCTTAATACTTTTTAGAAGGTGATCAAAATATTTGAGCCTATGTAAAGTCCATTTGTTAAAATACTAAATCTCAGGAAAAGGACCAAAAATAAATTTTAAGGTAACATTTTAAGACTTTTCAGACATTGTCTTTGGTTGAAAATGGAAGAAAATTTGTCAAAAGAGATACTCTTATTTTTTTTAATTTAAACTTTTAAAAAAATTTTTTTATAGTGACATCGGTTAATGAAATCAATAAATTTCATCTGTATACTTTTAACAGTAAGGCATACACACACACACACACACACACACACACGCACAGTGTTCACTTGAAGGAGATACTCTTGAAGGGAATTTTTAAATTTAAACTACTAACAAGAAATGCTTTAAATCCCACATATATGGGATAAATCCTACATAAATCCACAAATATGAAAATGCACAGATTTGGCTGAGTCTAGGAAGTACTTTGATTAGACAGAATTAAAAATAAAAATATTTTTTGAAGATACAAAAACTGCAAAATCTTATGTGAGTTTGCTTTTAAAACAAAAAATTTCGTTTCCTGAAAAATTTAACTTTTTTAAACCTCGATATACTTTCATTTTTCTCTTTTTTCCCTAAAGCTCAATGAAGAATTTTGGCAGTATAATACCTTCCAGTACTGGAGGAATCCTTTACCACCTATTGATCTGGCAGACATTGAAGATGTAAATGAAGACAACCTGACAGAAGCAAGGCTTCAGGGCAAGAATGAAGTAGTTGAGATTGACATGGAGTCTTGACAGAGGAGCTTGAAGAAATGGGTTTTTCTGAATTTGAGGAGACATCTCTAAATGAATTTATGTATTCCTAAGGAAAAAAGTTATTTTCCATACTTGATGTGATTTCATTCCTAAACCTGAAAAATGAGGAAAAGTTTTTTTAGAGATAAATACCTGCAGTCACTACAGAAACTCCTAGTAGGATTTGTCAAGGATATAGTGCAGTTAGTTATAGGGGAAGTATTTTATGTATACATTCTTAAAGAAAATTTATGTTTAGATTCTAAATTTGAAGATCTCAATCACATAAAAAGGGATTCTGACAGTTTTAGAAATAGATGGTAAACACTCAGATATTTCTTTACCAAAAAGTTAATTTGTGATACATGAAATGAGTATTTTATAATTATTAATAAAATGCTTTCTAGTATACTTTATTGACTCTTCTTAGTTGAACAGATAGCTGAATTAAACATCTATGCAAACTTAAAATGTGGGGGATTCTTTCTGAAAGCTGGTATTGTTTTAAAAGAGCTTTCTAAATGTAATGTGAGAATTTCAATTTGGGTAGCCTGTTTGCATAACTTCCAATATCCAATGTTTGTTAAACTCTACTTTGGGTTATCAGAAATGGATGAAGAACAATGAGAAATGAGAAGGTGCTTCCCTTCCCCCTTTCCCAGGATAAGAGGAAAGAAGTCTATTGCATTTCTTTTTTTAAGTTTTTTAGTTTTCAGTTTCTTTGAGGACATAGTTTTATTGCTTTTTGCTTTAGATTTGTAGTTCTCAACACTGACAGCACTTCATACATCTTTGCCTGAGCTCCACTCTTGAGAGATTTTCATTTAGTTGTTCTGATGCGGGCCTTGGGTATAGCTATTTTTTTAAGCACCAATCTCCACCCTACCCCCATCCCTGTAGTGTGCAGACGGGTTTGAGAACCATGGTAGTTTTTCCTGTTTAAAGGAGATTAAACATTTGAGCTGAAGCAATGCCTCTTAATTAGCTTTGTGTTTATTTTGCTCTGTTGATGGCTTTGTTACAACTAAATTATTGTGTTTTTACTATTTCTTTGTTAAATAAAGTAAGCAGTTTGTGTTTGAGTTATATGAGTATCAATGATTAAGTTAATTTGCATCCAGAAAGTTGGTTTTGTAATTGAGTAGTCCTTGCTTCTATGTTTTTTATTGTTACTGACATAAGATCCAAAAATGAGGAAGGGTGATAAATGCCAATGTGAAGGGGAAAAAAACGATGTTTTGTGTGTACTGTGGGATTTAAATATGGGTTGACATTAATAAGTATATTCTAGAACAAAAGGCAAACTGTATAGTGTTGTGGTTAAGAGTTAAAGCTTTGGAGTCAGACATGGTTGAAAGTTTTGGACTGCTACTTTCTACCTGTGTAATATTAAGTATGTTATTTTTCATCTCCAAGCCTCAGATTCATCACTTGTAAAATGAGAAATAATAAATAGTGTCTACCTCAGAGAGACTATATTTATTGTCAAATGATGTTCTAAGTACTTTACTTGCATTATCTTAATTTTTATAATACCCTTATAGGTACAAAAAATAATTGGAATAAATGTGCTTGCTATAGTTGCACTTCATTTCACTTTAAATTGCTACTAGACGTTTCAGGATAAGAATTGGAATTGAAGATATAGCAAGGACAGCCAGCAAATGGGGGGAAACAATTAAAGTACTGTGGAAAAAAATAAAGTAGTAAACATCCCTACTGCCCCCGGTCTGTTTGAACTGAGGGTAGAAAAATGTCTATTTTTGTTTGCTGCTCTTCTTAGTGTCCAGAACAGTACCTTTCACATAATAGTAAGTAAATATTGCATAATTAATAAATGGGCATTCTTATCTGTTGAGGGGAAGGTAATGTCGGCAATTTTTCTAGGAACATTTACAATGCTAGGAGATTTTTCCCAAAGATGTGTATACAAAAGGTCCATAGCAGAGATCAAATAGTAAAACATTGGAAATATGCTCAATTTATTATATGATAAAGACAGACATTTTCGCCAAATGAACAATAGAAGGTAGTTATTTTGACAGATCTTATGTGAGATACAAGGAGTAGCTCAGACAACTTTTTTAAGCATTATGTGTCGACCATAAGGCAAAAATCACAGAATACATTTGATGTTTTGATAAGTATTTTTTTATGTAAACATACATGTATGTTTAATATGTAAAATATATAGAGTATGTATGCATATATATATATATATGGAGAGAGAGATTTGAAACAATTCCATTTAAAAAAAGTTGTTAATAAGTACACTTCAGGTAACTTGGCAAAATTGCATTGCGGATAATTGAGATGGGAATTTAAAAGGGATTTTTTTTCCCCTGCTTTAAGTTGTATACACTTTACTCAGATTCCCTAATGTAACATGTTAACTGCCACAATATGATTGTGAAAA